TATATAAAAATTATATAAATTTTATATTTTTCAATTACCAAATATAAATAATTTCTCGCGCGAGATAAAAGTAATAATATCTCTTTTTTTTTTCCTCTCCTTTTTTTTTCCTTCTGTGAGGAGACAAGAGATAGGGATCTTCAAAAAGACTTGTGTAAACTTGAAGCTACCGCTATTTACCTCATCATAAGGCACGAATATCCGAGTTGGTGAAATCCGAAAATTGAGGATATAGTATAAATTAGATCTTATGTGATTTATGCCCATTTCAAATTTAAAATATTAAAAATACAATAATATTTAATATTATTTGATATTCCAATGACCTAATGAATAATATATTCTCTATTACCATTAGTATAATCTAAGTCAATTTAACCTTAAATATGTATATACTGAAAATATTGTGATATTTAAAAAAATAACGAAGTACCTAGTTTCATTTGGAAGGCTATAAGGAAAATCCTTAAACAAATGGTTATGTTAAATTAATTACAGAATATATAAGGTAAAATTTGAAATGAAAAAATAAATTAATAACATAACATCAAGTCTGAAATAATATAAGATAGAAAAAAGAAAAACTACTGTAGTAGAGAAAAAGAAATGTGAAGAAGCGTGGGTAGTAGATTTTCGTGCCACATGTGCACGTGTCAGAGTGAAACTCAGTTTTCTGCTTCTGCTCCCACTATGATGCTCTGCTTCCAAGTTATCCCTTTTCCTTTTTGTTTCCCATTATTTCCTTTTTTTTTTTTAATATTCATAGTTTCGCTCCAATTTGCGAGTAATTTTATTTATCAATACTTGGAGAAAATAAAAAAAAATACCTAATACTTTTGTTTTTGTTAGGGATTTAAATATGAGAGCTTATAATTCTCAACTTATTTTATTTACTAATAAGTCACACCCTTAAATTGCTCTCGTTATTTCTTATCTTTAACTTTGTTAAAGAAAATTAAAATTTAGTGCGTAACAAATAAATCAAGTAATTATTCAAGAATACAAATGGACATAAGATGAGTATTTGTTAGGTGTTTGTCCAGATTTTCTTATCATAATTGGTTTTTCTATCTCATGAAGGAAATAACAACATATTTACCATAATTGTGTTTCCTTTTCCTAGAAAGAAAATATAATTCTTCCATATTTGGTTAGTCTCTTTTCTTGTAAGAAAATGTTTGGAGTTCTATCTGTTCTTCTCATTTCGCAGCATCCGCAATGTAGCCATATAAGATTTGAGAGTCGTGTTTAGGGGGAGAACTTTATGGGACAAGTGTTAGTGTGTCACTTGTGTTTGCCTCTTCGTGAGGTTGTTCTTTCGATATTTTCTACTCTCTTTTTATATAGTGGATTGCTCATCTCCGCCATTGACGTAGGTCAATTGACCGTACCATATTAAATATTTGTGTCTCTTTTGGTATATTTTTCTTTTGTTGTTTGATTTATCGTTGTTCAAGTGTTGCTTACTAGCTTCCGCATGACACCTGACTTCTTTTGATCCTAAAAGGTAGTATCAGAGCGAGGCTCAAGACAGGTTCATCTTGGCAGATTTAGTTCTAGCTACATTCTATTTGACAGTAATCATAATTTTTATCAAAGAAATTTGACCGATGTGCTACGCACATTAAGACAAACTTTGTGGTGAAAATTTGGAGATGCAGCATGTTGAAGGCTCTGTGAAGAAGGTGGATCAAGTTTATTTTGTCAGAAAATTCTGACCAAGGTGGAGAATTGTTAGGTGTTTGTCCATATTTTCTTACCATAATTAGTTTTCCTATTTCTTGAAGGAAATGAAAACATATTTACCATAATTGTGTTTTTCTTTTCCTAGAAGTAAAATATAATTCTTCCAACATTTTGGCTAGCCCTTTTTCTTGTAGGAAAAAGTTTGGAGTTCTATAAATTAAAGATCTATCCTTCTTATTCCGCAGCATCTACACTGTAGTCATATGGGGTTTGAGAGTCGTGTTTAGAGAGAGAACTTTACGGACAAGTGTTAGTGTGTCGCTTGTGTTTGCATCTTCGTGTGATTGTTCTCTCGATATTTTGTACTCTCTTTTTATATAGTGGACTGCTCATCTCCGCCGTGGACGTAGGTCAATTGACCGAACCACGTTAAGTGTTTGTGGCCTTTTTGATATATTTATCTTTTATTGTCTGATTTATCGTCGTTCAAGTATTGCTTACTAGCTTCCGCATGACACCTGACTTTTTTTCGATCCTAACAAGTATAATCTAAAATCATATACAAATAAGATTACACTTGTTGCCTTAATCAACGTGAGATATTCTAAAACACTCATTTTTTTACTTTAAAAGTTTCCGATGGAGGAATTATGATAACCATAAAGAGAAGACCAAAAAATATCATGTGAAATTAGTTGGAAATATTAGAGTGTAATATCAATTCATTTACTTACAAAAGAAAAGAATGATTTTCACAAGAATGAGTTGTTGTACGATGAATACGATGTAGAAGTTTAATCTTTTCTGTATGACATCTAATGACCTCAATTCTTTGATGTTTCATTATTTTTAGTACTATTATATTACTAGAATGCAGAATTAGTGGTTATAGCTTGCCAATTGTGAGTGTGAGACAAATGAAAATTTTCTTCCACTAAATTAATGTTTTGCCCAAATTGTAGGACAATAGTTTCCTAGTTGTTCTAGAAGAAAAACCGGAAGGAACAAAAAGCAAAAAGAAAAAAAATATGTAGTTACTTCTACAATAATAAGAAAACCAAACCGATTTGGAGCCTTATATTTAACTTTTTCCATCTCACTATAGGTATCCTAAGTTGACTTTGAATTATTAATCAATTTGTAGATACACTGATTAAAATATATTAAGAATGCTATAATTTCTTTGTCAAACTATAATAGGGTATTGAATAGTCAATTACATAGTTTTGGCCTTCATTATTTACGGACCAAGAAAATTGCATTAGACATAATTTTTCTTTGTTGCTTTCTCCGTATTAAAATGATCACTGAAAAAGAGAGAAAAGACTTGGAAAGTTTCACCTTGTGAATTTCGTTTGAAGAGAGAATCATTCAAAATGTAGTACTCAGATTGCGTGTTCATTAAACTAAGTTGAAAAAAAGTACACTATATCACGATGTAAAGTTGGACATTCATTCAACACATTCTACTTAATATATTTTTTTTATACAAAAAATTGGACAATATATTTTTTGAATCTATATTTGTTGTTAGAGGTGTACATGAACCGGGTTGGTTCGGTTTTTATCAAAGTCAAATCAAACCAATTATATCGGTTTGGATAAATTCGGTTTTATGTTGGGTTTTTCGGGTTTTCGAGTTTTTTTATTACATGAATATTATTTCAACCTTACTTTGTTTAATTTTTTATAAGTAAATATAAGTTTAGTAAAAATTAAAAAAATTAACAAACATTCGATCTATTAACAAATTTTTATGAGAGAATTTTCTTTGTAACTTATAATAGTTATTTTTTTTAGTCGTCTGACAATATTTTTTGTTGATGTACACTTTCAATTAACTGAATTTAATAATTAAACATAAAAATCAATATGATACCTATATAATGATATGTTCTATTTGATTTTAATTTATCGAAATACCACTTCAAATTCGAAAAAGATTAAGAATTTAATAGATCTTGACATATGAATATGGAAGAACAAAGAGATCGACGCATTTCACTAACACTTGATAAGAAAGTGATCATACAACCCATTATTTAAAGCTAATAAAAATAGAGCACTTCATATTTAACTAAAAATTATATTTCATAAGAGAATCGCAAATATTTCTAGGTATTTTTAATTTTTTTTTTATGAAAAGTCTTAAAAGTATATATAAAATTATGTATTTATATGTCAGTTTGGTTCGAATTTTTTTACTCAATACCAAATTAAGTCAAATCAAATTTAGTCGGATTTTTTAATCGTTTCGGTTTGACTTTTTGGTTTGGTGTGATTTTCCGGTTTGGTTTGTATACCCTATTTGTTGTTATTTTTAGAACTTTGTTGCAAAGCATACATATATACCATTGCTAAATTAATGCTTCCACAATTCATAACAGGATGTAAATAAAATTCATTTCTATATCTAGATACTAATACTGTTGGCAAAAGGAGTTTTGGCTGTACAAAAGTTGCTATAAGTGGAACTATATACCAGATTAAAAAAGTTGTTTGTTTCCCTAAAGTCCTCCTTTAAGCCTGATTTTAATATTAATCCGATAAGTTAAGCTTCTTATTAATTGTATGCTTTCTTTGAATCAACATTATAGAATGTTTAATCACCATATTCATGTTTCAAAATAGTCATGCGTATATTAACAAATCATATTAAACATATTAATAATATTAGTTTGCTTTTGTTTAATTAGAACCATAATAAATTAACTGTTGTACTTTTCTAGTTTTACAATAGAAATGAATTAAAAATGTTAACTGTATGAAAAATAGAAAAAATTTTAAAATCCGTCTCGCACGTTACAGGTTAAGTAAATAAAAAGAAAATCAATATGTTAACTTATGATTGCAGAGTTGGCAAAAGATAGACATTTCAAATTAAGTATAGTAATTATCATTTTTTTCGTGAAGTCTGTTCTTGAATGAAATCTTTTATTTCTATTTTGAAACTTCTCTTCAAAATCATTCAATTTATCCTTCGCTAATAAATAGAAAAATCAAACTCTAACGCAATCAACCTTTCTTTAGATGAATATCCTACATAATGTAAACTCAATTTTTACTATATATTATTTTTTCAATTGCACACCATAATTATATATCGTAAAATCATGGTACGACTACTAAAGCATTATGGTACAATACTCTTAAATTAGTGGTTAGGTAAAATTTGCTTTTAATGGATGCATTATTAATTTGTTACAAAGTGAAGAAAAGGCAAAAAATAATTACTCATAATAAATGGGAGGCAGAAAAATAGAAAATTAAATCCACCAGCAGAAAGATATTTGACAAGACAGATGATTACAAAGAAGAGTAAAAGTGGCATTTAAAAACCCCCTCCCCATCAATTCCTCTTTCCTTCTCCATTACCATTTTCCACATTTCCACCATTGATCTTCCCCCTTCTCCGCCGCGCTCCGCCGTACTCGCCTCCTTACACCACCGTTTCCCCGCCGTGAACAATTCCAAAACCACCACCCTTTTCTCTTTCGCACATACAAAAAAACAATAAACATACATTCTCTCTCTCTATCTCTCTCTTTTTTGTTTCAAAGTCTACTTCAATGGCGTAAATGGAAATGACTATTCTGCCACTATCTTGATTCCCTACCTTGCCTACAACTCTATTTAAATTGTTTTATATAAAACCATAAGGACTCAATTTTTTACTACAAAATTTGTTTATTTTCTTTATTTCTTTTCTCTAACTTCAAGAATATTCCCTTAGTTCTAAACCTCTTTCAAGTCCTTCTCCACAACCCCACATCCATTTTCCTACACTTACATGTTTATACACAAAATCCTCTGTATAGATGCATGTAATAAGTACTAAGTGGGTGTCGTGTATTTTCTTGTAAATTTTCAAAAATGCGGATTGATCTTTAGTATTAGTTGAATTGAAAAAAATTAATAATTGGGGCCGTGGGATCAAAATGCGTGTAAAGGAAATGCATCCACTTTGCTGTATAACATTAGAGAGTACATCGGAGATCGGAGACCAGTCGCCGGAGCCGACGTTATTACGGACTGGCTCCGCCGTAGTTTACTCCAATATTAATGGATCTGACATCATTAATGCATCCGATGTTGCCGGAATCTTGTACAAGTGGACTAATTACCATAAAGGTTGGAGATCCCGTTGGTTTACTCTTCGAAACGGCATACTTTCATATTCGAAGAATCGCCGCCCCGACCATATCACCGGTGATGACGTCAGACTCATCGGTAACCTCCCCGCCGGTAACAACAGCCGCCGTAAATGTAGAAAATCCGTCGGCATTGTTCACCTCAAGGTAATATAAATGGTGTAGTAGTAGTAGTTGAAAACTTTGATGTAAAAACTGGATAGTGTGGATTTTGTCGTTTTTGGTGACTGGTACAAAGATTAAAACTTTCTACAATTAGCAAAATCTTGAATTCAGAATTTTTACTCTTGATTGTTTTTACCCTCTATTGTGATATTTTGTTTAGATATCCGAGCCTTTTTGGTTCATTTTGATCAATTTTGCATTGTCCGGTGGTTAATCAAGTGTATAATTTGTTTTTACTCTTAGTTTTCCATTTTTACTGCGGTATTTTGACCCATAACGGGTCACATCAGCAGGTGAAAGGGAAATGGGGGAAGTTTTATAGGCCACAATAAGGCTAAAAGAATCATCTATTCTTGTAGGCCTACGTTTATGGTAAAAAACTATGACAAACATTGTCACATTTTAGATAAATGCTTTTTTTTGGGAGTTTTCTCTTAGAAAAAATCAGACCTTTTTTCTTCCATGTTTTTCTCAGAAAACTTTGGAGTGATCGCTTAGTTAGTATCCATTTGTTTGTTTCCTTGATTTCTTTGTTTTGTTTCATTTTTTGCTGTTACAAAAAGTTGTGTTATTTTCTTCATTAAAAATAGTAGGGAGCAACCAAAAGAATAATAGTGGATTCTCTCTCTATCTCTAACTCATTTTTCTCTACTGTACCTGTAGTTATCATCTTTGTATTTTATCCTTTTTCCTAGAGGTTTAGTGTGTATGACTGAGAGTTTATTGTAAACTTAAGAAAGTTTTATATATTTTTGTAAAGAGAGAATAAGGGAAACTGGGAAAGGATATTCTTGTTCTATAGTTGATGTGGAACTGATGGCCTCACCTCCATCCTTAGTGAAAATCTAGCAACAAAACAACATACCTAGTGCCCACAAGTGAGGTCTGGGGAGGTTAGTATGTACGCCGACCTTACCCCTACCTTGTGAAGGCAGAGAGTCTTTTACCGGAAGACCCTCGACTCAATAAAGTAGTGAAAATCTAGCAACAAATCATAATTTGGTTATTCTGTCAAGTGTGTACTGTGGTAGATGGTTGTAGTAGAACTTGGCTTCTTTATTGAAGTTGATCTGTCAGCACTTATGACATCTATTCTAGGTTGTCTGGCACCAGCTGTTTCTTGACGTACTTGTTGATGTATTAATCCCAGTTTATTGCACTTTGTTACTATATCAGTATATGCTATGCTATGTAGTCTCTAGAACCTCTTAAATGACATTGCCAATTACCTACTAGATAGCTAGCAGTGACCTCTTTTCTTTGCCTAGATATTGACCTATATTTGCCTAGATATTGACCTCTGAAACTGATCACACAACAAGTCGGTTTGTTTGGTACGACGGAAGTCATTTTCAAGAAAATGTTTTTTGAAGTCATTTTTTAGTGTTTGATTGCTCGAAATTGGTTTTCAAGGAAAATATTTTCCATTAAAATGAGGAAAATGACTTCCTAAAATTACGGGACATACTTGACGTTTAACTTCATATTATCTGCTCTAATTAACACTTAGATTTTCATCAAAACACTCTCCTATTTGCTAAGTATTAATTTTTTTTGAAAAATATTTTACGCTCACCAACCTATCTCCACAATGATGATATCTTCTAGAAAGACCATTTTTCGTGGAAAATGATTCCATCAGTACCAAAAAATTCTTTTGCCATTGACATGTGTTTGGGTGGGATTCCTTACAGGTTTCATCATTCCGTGAGAGCAAGTCTGATGATAGGCGATTCTACATATTTACATCTACCAAGACTCTTCATTTGAGAACAAATTCAAAGAAAGAACGGGCTGCCTGGATAGAAGCTCTGATATCAACAAGAAATCTTTTTCAGTTGAGACCTTTAAATGATAATTTCAGCCTTTTGCAAAATGATGTATCTATATCTACTGAAAGGTTGAAAAAACGGTTGCTTGACGAGGGTATTGGCGAGGGACTTGTCAATGACTGTGAGCAGATCATGCTGTCCGAGTTTTCAGAAATAAAAGGACAACTTAAAAGTCTTTGTGACGAGCGCTCCAATTTGCTGGACACATTAAGTCAGTTGGAGGTAACTTTATTACTTTCTCCACCTAATGTGCACACTTATCTTTCACTTTATGTTTCGCATAATGCCCTTCTCCATTTCAACCATCTTGTTTTTATTGTTTGCGTAACATCTTCATCTACTATAACACCTTATCTTGTATGACCTGCTCACCTTATCTTGTATGACCTGCTCGCTGCTTCAGAATTAATTTGAACGACTGTTGCAAATCTCTTGTTTTTTTTAGAATTGACTACCGGTATTCGTTACTGACCACACAAAAAAAAAGCAGAAAAATTGACTTACACTTTCCTATTGTTATGTCAGTCATATACAAGGTTAACACACAGTCATCTAAAGCGTCTAAAATAGTCTGTTTGGTATGACTTATGTTAAGCACCAGGCAAATGTATTGTATTCGCTACCTTTTCCATAGCCCATCTTAATTTTTCATGAGTTTTCTACCCATATTTCCGTTAAACTTCGTCAGTTATGCACTTATGAAACCTTTCAATGAGGTTGCATTGCAGCTAAGTTGCTTAGACTCTTCACTTTGGGTGTCACACCCGTGTCGACACGACTTGGGTGTAGGATCCATACTGGATCTGGTCAACCAATTTTGGGTACTTTGACCAAAATCAACGAAGAAATTAGGGACAGATACATGATTTTTGAATTCAAAACAAACGCTAGGGTGAAATTGAAGAAAATGTAATTCTTTGTATCTCCTTCTCAAATTTTCCTGTTGATCAATATTTTCTCCTTCTCGGAATACCTTATAAAGTTTTACACATAATATTTCATAATTTAGACATACTTTTATAACTCTGTTTTTAGATATTTGAATTACTTTTAGCTGAATCCCCGCACCCGTATCCGTACCCTCGAATCTTAAAATTTAGATCATGAAGGATCCAACCTCTAGATACGCACCCGTATCGGACACCTACACCCGAGTCCGAGCAACTTAACATTGCAGGACAAAAAAGTTAGTTTAGTCATATTATTAAGTTTATTTATCTGCTTGAATTTCCTATTTAAGTTGAATACATAAAGTACTGTTTCCGGACGTCTGATCAATATTAATTTTCATGCGGTCATGTTACATGTGTTTAACTTTTTTTCCATGATTTGTATATTGCTGTAAAAATGAGATCCACTATCTCTAACTTGCGTAAGTTTTGCTTCTGAAGGCAGCTAATATCGAAGCTGAAGCTTCCGGGGTTCATGATGGTGAATTCCAACTGATGAAGCAACTCTCCAGTATAGGGCGTGGCAAGTACAGCGGTATGTTATACATATGCTTGATCTACTTCCACCTGTACAAGTACAATTTACTAAACAACACATTCATAAATCATTGCACATTCTGCTTTCTAGGCCTAAGGGATTAGATGAATTATAACTTGATTGTGTGTAAAATCTTGAGGTTATCTTCCGGTAAATATTCCCTTTTGCTGAAGAATATTGCAGCAGAAATACTAGCAGTTGTTAGAGGAAAAAAAACTCTTGCTATCTGCAGTTTAGTTCTGTTAATAGATTTTCTGATTTATGGCTTCATTATTCAGTTCTATTTCACTTCATTATTCTGACTTCATTATTGTTGTAAAGAGCTAGAGGTTCAGCAATGTATTTGCAGCTGGCTTCTTTCACCAATTTTTTCTTGCTCACGTTGTACTGGAATTCCACCACACTCACTAAAATAGTTTCAGTTAGTGTCCCTCACATCATATGTTCAATATTGCTGAATTTGTCTTGTATATTGGTGGAAGTTGAATATCCAATGAATTTGGCATAATTTTAGTGGCTGCAAACAAGTGTAACTTCTTTAAATTGATTCTCATCTCTCCTGCTCAAGTACATCCTCTTTAAAGTTTATTGGACACTTTTTAATTGCGCACACACATTATATATTACATTGTTTATGAACACAGAATATAAGATTGTAGTTTAAAATATTTATTGTATTTATGGTAGTGGAAGAAATATTAGAGTAATGATTAAAAGGTTAGTTTGACGTAGAAATTATCACTTTAAAATTATAAATGATTTTGAAATCTTTAAAGCTGTGAAAGCTATGTAGAATAATATTATTTGTGGAATAATGCCACGTATTCTGAAATGTCCCTAAATTGGGCTAGTGTTATATAAATTGAAACTTTAGAAGTATTTCCTTTTCCTGATTGTATTAAGCTAAGTTGCTTAATACAATAATAGTCTTGCAATATTTCAGAAAAGAATTACGTATCAGTTGGCATTGCTAAAACATTATCAACCGTTACAGGGGGGAGACATCAGATATTCGCATGTATGTCTTGTACTAACCCAATAACAGACAACTGCAGCTTCAAAAGATAACTTTATCTCACTTTTATAATTTCTTTATGTTAGAATGGTCAAGTAAAAGTTGCACAAATATATATTCATGATCTGTTGGTAGCTAAATCAGTTATGGGCACACCAAAGAATGGTAAGAATATGCCTAAATAGATATAGCTCTATGAAAAGTCTCATGAGATTTCGTCTAAAGGAGCTTAGTATCTTAAATACAAAATATTGAATATCTTTAAATGTTTGAAAGCTGTACATTACTCCTGCAAACTTGTGTTAGCTTTGGTCAAACAACTCAATAAAGTGATGAGACCCTTTCAGTTTGAAAATTTATGAATTCTTAGTCAAAAAGGTACAAACTGTTATGTGGAAGAAGTGTTGGGTGTATGCACATTGTTTGACCTCTTACATTTTATTTCAGAATGGAGTACGACTGAATCGTCCGATGATATTGAGAAACAAGAGCTTGATGAAGCGTCAGATGAAGAGGAAGCCAATTATCTTGACGCAAATGAATGTTTCTCTGAACTTCATTTATCTGGTGGGTCAGTAGTTGTGGACCACATGGCAAGCAATTCCATTGATGCATCTGCACAAGTTACACGCAGAACGAAGCTGCCGGATCCAATTGAAAAAGAGAAAGGGGTTAGTCTTTGGTCTATGATCAAAGACAATGTCGGGAAAGATCTGACACGAGTTTGCCTGCCAGTGTATTTCAATGAGCCATTGTCGTCCCTGCAAAAGTGCTTCGAAGATTTAGAGTACTCATATCTCTTAGATAGAGCATACGAACATGGAAAATCGGTACGATCTTTAATAGTTTCACCTCTTGTTACTAAGAGAGCATGACTAGGAAATTGTGTTCACCTTCTTGCTTTCTATTTAAAAGGGTGCTTATCAGGCTCTTTTTTGGAATAATTATTTCAGAACACAAATTATAAACTTTTATTTTGATGAATAACAAGTTATAATCTTATCGAGATATTGTAATAGTCTTCGCATGGCAGCTAAGCTTCAAGACTTGATATTGCGTGTATGAGCCGAATTTGTAACTTTGTATGTTGTGCTGAAGCACGACTGTTGCTTTTATTCCTCTATGTGTCTTGTTTCCCCCCTAAAGGTTTATATAAACTTCTTTTCTCTCCCTAGGAGTAGGCACCTTTATTAGTGAGTTTTCCAATTCTTGGTTAGATGTATAGCATTATGTTGACAACTTTGGGATTGTCTTGCTCTTCCAGGGGAACAGCCTTTTAAGAATTCTAAATGTTGCTGCTTTTGCTGTCTCTGGTTATGCTTCAACCGAAGGCCGGAACTGTAAACCTTTCAATCCTTTGCTTGGAGAAACTTATGAAGCTGATTTTCCTGAGAAAGGAATCCGCTTTTTTTCTGAGAAGGTACTTTATCAAGAATAAATAGTACTATTATTTATTGAATTGATTGTAGACATACTAGGTTTATATTTTTGTATGCAACTTCCCCTTGCAGAACTATTTTGTTAGCAAAACTTAGTTAGTAACAATTTGCGCATAATCCATACTCAAAACTTTCTTGAGATAATGTTCACAATGAGATAATTTTTTTAAAGTTTCCTAGTGGTTGATGAGCTGGCCTTGAGTAACTGTATATGTTTATTCATGGCAATGCCAGTAGTCCTAGATCTTATCAGGCCTTTTGGATGCTTTAAGTAAACCTACAAGCTATGTTAACTCTATTTTGTTGTGTAGTCTATGAGAGACATTACGATATTATGACATAAATCACGTTCTTAGAGATATTTCACAATTTTCTGAAGCCTTTCAGCCCTTTCGTAGTTTACATGAGCAGCTACAATCTGAGTAAGATGATCTAAAGCATTGGAATCTTGGATCCTTCACGGCTTCATCTACCTTGATGTAGCCATGTCAAAAGGGTGTCCTATGACTATGGCTAATTTGTACGGATTCTCCATATTTCATTAAGAATTAGCAAAATTAGATATACCTATATCAGATACTTACACCACTTGTATCGGTTTTGTTTCCAGAAATCTGTCTAATATAGATTGGAGTTCACTTATTTGTAGTGTATCTAGGATTGGACATAACATGGTTTGAGACTGAAGGGTGCAACATATTTTCAACACACTAGGTCGGTCACGGAACTCCATTGCCGGTTCCTTTTCCATGTTAAGTTTCTACAGTGTGGGGATTCACTCTGTCAACTTCTTTTCTTACAAAGCTTGAGGGAGCTTATTGTATGGAAAGTTTTCTATGATAGAAGAGATAAACATAGTATCAGAGAATCATAACAAGAGTAAACATCTTGTACTTTCTTATCTTTTGCTACCAAAGTGAATTGCTATGAAAAATAAATAGGCACACTTGGTAGTTTAACTTGCTGAATAAAGAATTAATTCGGAACAGGGGAAGTTGTAGCTGGAATTTATTACTAAGTCTCTGATTGCAATGAGTTGATATATATGATAGTAATTAGCCAATTCTTGAAACAGGTTAGTCACCACCCAACACTTATTGCCTGTCACTGTGAAGGTAGAGGATGGAAATTCTGGGCTGACAGTAATCTTAAGTCAAAATTTTGGGGAAGATCAATTCAACTTGATCCTGTTGGAACACTTACCTTAGAATTCGACGATGGGGAGATCTTCCGGTGGAGCAAGGTAGGCAGAACTTCATGCTGCTGATCATTTAGCAGTTTACTAGTTAGTTTGGTTGCTATTGAAGTTCTCGTTCTGTTTGTTTAATTTGAGACTTTGATATCCTCAGGTCACGACAAGTATCTACAATCTTATCCTTGGTAAGATATACTGTGATCATCATGGAATAATGCATATACGTGGCAATCGCCAGTACTCATGCAAGCTCAAGTTCAAAGAGCCATCCATTATCGAGCGTAATCCTCATCAGGTAAATGAGGAGAAATCCTGTAAATAACTTGAAAATATTTTTTTTGTCTATTCTTCCCCAGATTACTATTATGTCTATACATCTAGATTTTGTTGTACTATTGGTCGGATAATTCAAAATTCAAACTAATTCTACAGGTTCATGGATTTGTTGAAGATGTCTCCGGGAAGAAAGTTGCCACATTATTCGGAAAGTGGAATGAGAGCATGTACTATATGAATGGAGAATGGACCAGCAAGCCTAAGGATTCATCTGATTCATCTTTATTGTGGACAAGGAATAAGCCACCCCTAAATCTAACTCGATACAACTTGTCTTCTTTTGCAATTACACTGAATGAGTTAACACCAGGACTTAAGGTACAACAGTGTGTTAGTGAAATCTTCTCGTGAAAGATCAATTTCCTTTTTATGCTCAGCTAATTGTCGTTTATAGCCTGGCTAATCTGCTTGTCTAATCTCGGATAAAGGAGAAGCTCCCACCTACAGATTCAAGACTCAGACCTGATCAGCGACATCTGGAAAATGGGGAATACGACAAGGCAAATTCGGAGAAGTTGCGGTTAGAAACACGACAGAGAATGGTACATTTGCTTCCACTTGAGTCTCCTCATCTTTCTCTATGTATTCATTCTTTTTTGAGTGTTATCATATTATTTAGTCTTCAAAATTGTTGTCGATCTGATAGTTCAAAATTTGTCTGACAATCTCGTTGGAATTGTCACTCTTATGAGTGGAATAGCAAAGTTGGATCCTTGGGCTTAGTTAGCTTCTTAAATTTGGGTCCTATATACCTTCCTTAAGAATGCACAGCTATTTCAAAGTCTTACAGGACTGAATGTGGTTCAGAGCTGATCTTGTGATATCTTACTCATCGCCTTACTGAGCTGAATTTATCAATTTTACCACAGTATCACTACCTACCAGAATCTAGATAGTATAATCAAGCTCACTTACTAAGGTTACTTTTTATTGTTTTCCTTCTGAATCTCTACTCTGAGAAATAGTTTCTCTGGACGCGACATGACTGCCTAATGAACTTGCAGAAAGCATTAATTTTGAACAACTAGGAATTTGTAACCTTATATCATAATTGACCGGAAGCAAAATTTAACACTCAATATTGAAGGCTTACATTATATGCAATCAATCTCTCCCACCATGTTTTTATTTAAAGAACAGTATTGGACTGACGGATTGGATTCTGTTGACTTTTAATTGGGTTTAGGAGTTTCAGGCCCCATAATTTTTTTCCTGGTTCTCTAAAACCGTGAAGCTGGAGTATCAATTTATGAATCTTTATAATTGTAGTCTAAATAAAGCTCTTTTTCTTACCTTACAGTCCAGGAAATTACAAGAGAATGGTTGGAGACCGCGATGGTTTCAAAGAGAAGGTGAAGATGGGACTTTCCGGTATACCGGTGGTTACTGGGAGGCGAGGGAGACGGGTACTTGGGATGGCTGCCCAAATATTTTTGGTGAGATTGATCAAGAGCTCCTCACCTCCTTTGAAGGATCCTGATGTTTTAGAAGGTATAAGTTCTGAGAAACTGCTTTTCATAAATGTTACCATTCTCATGTCAAGACATCCATTTTGATATGGCTCGGTTCTAGTTACGTGATCAATTTGTGCCAAGATATGGCTCGGTTCTAGCTAATGTTTTTAGAGCTCTTAACACATTTCACTGGTTGGCCAAAAATATTTACAGTCGCTAGCCAAATATACAAAAATATACAGACTAATGCCTATGTATTAAATATGTATTCTATACACAAAGATATACATGTGACGGCTATTATTTTGGGGGCGGCAATACCGTGTAAAAATCCCATTATTTATCACCTCATCAAACACTGTTATCCTGACTCAATACTTTCTTGAAACATGTCAGATTCATCGATCATATCATGTTTATATTAATCTCATTATCTTTGTTTCCATCATAGGCACACAATTTGCCCTTAATTACCAAAATATTCAGGTAGCTAGTAGTATAGTTAAACTGGGGAGCCGTTCTTGATGCATTTTCATGCCTGTTTTCTCCTGATTGTAAAGAAATATCAAAAGGCAATGTGGTACATTTTTCAGGGACCTGAAGATTTGTAGATTTGCTGATTAAAGACAAAACCCTTGAGCAGAGTATTATGGAGAATTCTGTAGGACAGGAATGGAGTATGCAGGCAGTCCGCGCCAGCCCAAATTTTTTAGTTGTTTAAAGATAGTTCTCCGAGTTGACATAAGTCAATCCAGAATCCTGAAGGCTATTTTAGGATGAAGAGACAATCTTGCAAGAGTCGACCAACGATGGAGCACATACTGGAGAAGTTTTTCTTTGCTACATATGCATCAAGCTGTTTTGATCATGCTTGTATTTTGTGTTGAATTCATCCCATTTTTCATTATGCTTCATCTTTCTGCGGCTAGGCATTAGTTTAGGTTATTTTTATTATTATTATTATTTGTACTCTATGTTGAAAATAAAATAGCAAAAATTTGAATGTATTAAAGAAATGAACAGAGCACAATAGCTTTTGTAAAGACCTGAAATAGATAGTGCTTACACATGTTGAGATATACACAAAGAACAATGATTCTCCTTTACCCAAAAAATCCAAAGTTCTCTTAATGGTCCTATTTTTTCAATTTTTGGCTGTGAACATTTTGGTAGACATTCAATGGTCAATACAGGATAAGATTTTGGACCATCTAGTATTCAAGGGAATGACTGTGTTAACACATAGGTATAACAACCAAGAGAGGCAGACTTAGGGCCCTCTTGGTATACGAGTAAGGAATAATTAATTCCGGGATTAAATTTAAGAGGAGTTTATCCCATGCTTGATTGGTAGAAAAATACGGTATAATTAATTTCGGAATTAGTTATTCTGGGTTTATAGTGCTTTTTATCTCCATGAAAAAGTAGAATAACTAATCTCGGGATAATTAATCCCGAAATAATTAACCTTGGGATAACTTCTTTACAACCAAACGACCCTTAAGTTCTTGTTATAGCGATTGGTTGTAGACTTGCAGTTGCTAGTTGGGTACTTGGGGGTCGTTTGGCTCAAGACAAGGTTATACTAGGATTATAGATTATAATTTCACTTCTTATATGGGATAGGTAATCCCACGATTTTTCAAATTCTAAAATACGCATTTTCAACTTAACTTCAAATACTATTTTTTCTTTTCAAAAATTATTATTTTTATGCCCAAACGCCTACTTACATGACGTTTTTTAAAAAATATCAAAAAATTAATCTAAAAGTACCGATACCGAAGAAAAATCGAGATGATTGACACGATTTCAAAAAGTCTAATTTGGTTATACAAAATGGAATAACCGAAAAAATATTTTAGTATAAATTTATAAAATAATCGGTTGATCCGAATCATTGACATCCTAACCTACAGCCAAATGTTGGACAAACTTAATTAACCCCCTAATCCCTATAACCAAAGGGCCTGAACTAGTCGTGCAAGCCTATGAATATCATCGTCAAAAAAAAACATATAGGAATTTTGAACTATCTTATTGTTGAACCAAGAGAAAAAGGGGAACACAAATAGCCATTTTTAGAGCTGCTATTTTGTACTTATTTTTTATTAAAAATTTAAACTAAAAATCTTAATTTCAAGACGTTGTGTCCTGAAAATTAAACTGAAAAATTAAAATTCAAAATTCATTGAATAATTCCTAAATAGCAGTCCTTAAAATGGCTATCTGGTGTCATTTCTATATAGAAAAATCTCAAAATGATTTTAGTAGAGGGAGATGAGCTGCTTATTTTTTAGAGAACTTCATTTATAGCCCATCGGGCAAAACAAATATCATCTGGTAGCCCACAAATTAACCCATACAAGTCATAGCCTAAAAATAATGACAAGTGCTAGCCGAAAACTTCACTGAACGAATTCCCTCGCCGGAAAATCCTAGATCTAAGAAAATCTGGACTTTTACCCGTTAAAACAACAGCAAAACGCCGGAAAATCCTAGAATCGGCCAGATCTAAGAAGATCTGGACTTTTACCCGTTAAATCAACATTAAAACAAAAGAAAAAAGGGTGTGTGCAAGCATCTGTTACTAGCAGCACAGAAAAAACAAAAAGCAAAACAATTGTAAAAATGGAGAAAGAAAATGTGTCCTTGGAGTTGAATATGTTCCTGTACATCAACATATTTCAGTAGTAGCAACCTATAGGGAAGAAGAAGAAGAAGAAAGCAAGAGGAGCAGTGTGTAGCAACGAGAGAGACATCCTTGTCTTCTTTCTCTGATTTTCTCTTATAGTTTCTGTAAATATGTAGATAATATTTTGAAGATGTTTGGCTAAAAATTTAAAACTCTGGCGATCTTGTTACCATTTTCGGCAACTGTGACAGCCATGGACGTCGGTGGCTAGTTTCTCAATGAGAGGAAGAACAGAGGAGATGCCTATGAAAAAAGTTGAAATATCTACAAAATAGACTGGCATTATACAAAAATTATACAAAATATACTGTCACTATACAATTTATATACAAATAGACTGTCACTATACAATTTATATACAAATAGAGTGTCACTATACAAAATATATACAACAATATAATGTCATTATGCAAAAAATATACTAAATAGACTGTCATTATATAAAATATGTACAAAATAGACTATCACTATATAAAAATATACTAAATAGACTGCCACTATACAATTTATATACGATTAGCTCTCACTATACAAAATATATACAAAACAGACTGTCACTATACAAAATATATACAAAACAGACTGTCACTATACAAAATATATACAACACAGACTGCCACTATACAAAATAGACTGTTACTATACAAAAATATACAAATAGACTGTCACTATACAAATAGACTGTTACTCTAC